CCCCAAATAAACCTTTTCCTCTACAGTCGTTCTACTTTTAGTCACAGCAGCGAAACAGCTGACTGAAACACCCCTGCCCCATTGCCCACGGCTGATGGCTGCCCCTAGGGCAGGCTGCTTCCGCAAGGCCCATTCCCTCTCAGGCCAACCTGGCTTCAGAGGACGGCACCTTGGGTTGGACCTGAGGCAAGGACCTTCCTCTAGATCCAGCCTGGCCTGAGAGGAACCTCCTCCCTGCACAGGGCCCCGGTCACCAGGAGTAATCAGAGACCAGGGAAGGAGCCCCATCATGCCTTCTTGGGACAGAGAGGCTCAGGGAGGTGGCTGCTCCATGGGCTCTCATCAGGCCTTCGAGGGAACTTGTGGCACCTGATGACTGAGCCCTGGTGTCAACCCTAACACTGATCTTCCAGCTCTCCCTGATTTCTCCACCTTTTGAGTTGTCACCTATGAAGTTTGGTCAGAGAGGTGATGGTGCTGGCAGAGTCCCCAAACAGAAACACACACACACAAGAAGCTGAATGAAATCAAAGCAGCTAAACCCAAAGAAGCCCCACAGACCCAGAGCATCGCATACTGGAAACACAGAGCCACAGAGAGACTTGTCCTCATTGCAGACACAGCCCATGGATTCCTTCAACCACTAAATCCACCCTGCTGCTGTGTGTCAGGCACCGTCCCAGGCGCTGATGATGGGGGACTTCGATCCTAATAAGGCTGATATTCTGGGGATAGGGGTCATAAAACACCAAAACCTGTAAAACATTGAGCATGTGGCACTCAGGGCTCACAGAGAAGCCCCCACACAGGAGGCTGCAGAGCTGTGAGGGCTGCAGAGCTGGAGGCCCAGGCTGGGAACGTTCCACACAGTCTAACTGGGATGAGCAGGTGACCAGCTGCGTGCACTGTACAGAGGAGGTCAGGCGCGGCTCCCTGAGGCCCAGGTCCCCAAGGCCCAGGGCAGCAGGGACACAGGGAAGCCCGTGGGGACTCTGAACCGCGGGGTCTGGGCAACCAGGCGGTCCATGACTCTCCACCTTCCGCTTCTGAGTGCCAACAGGGGTCCCCCGACCCTGACAGCAAAAAGATGACAGCTACAGTAGGGCCTGGAGACCTGCCTACTGCCTCCTGCGCCTCTGGCCAGCTGGGCCAGGCACAGGAGTCTGGTACCATGGGCCTCTGTGGATAAGAGCAGGGCGCCACCAGGCAGAGTGCCCAGGTGCCACCTAAGTCTGYGCACCTCAAAGCCCACGGGGCCGAGAGCCACACTGGCCATGACCCTTGCCCACCATCGTAGCCTGAGACCCAACCAGGAGGGCTCCTGGTACCTGGAGGAGACCTGGGGCCAGGTCCCGAGGAGCTGAGAAGGTGCTGCCTGGATGGGAGGAGCCATCTGGAGCGATGCCAGGGTGTGTGCTCTCCTCCACATGTGCACAGCCCTCGAGGACTTGAGGTCCACACTGGAGTCCCCCCGTGTGCCCAGGGACCTGGGACGTGCACCCAGAGGATTCAGGAACTTGTAGTTCACACTGTGGCTATAGACCCCAGGGTCTAGTAGTCCAATCCATTCCCCCAGGGACCTGGGACCTGGTGGCCACCTCTTCCTCCTACTATGCCTTTGTGCACAGGTGTACCCGGGGCTCTTTGTGGGACAAGGCACCCTCAGTAGCACTATGCCCAGAACAGGTGTTAAGGGGACAGGTTGAAAAGCAGTGAAGGGCTGGAGATGTGGCTCAAGCGGTAGCATGCTCGCCTGGCATGCGTGCGGCCCGGGTTTGATCCTCAGCACCACATACCAACAAAGATGTTGTGTCCGCCGAGAACTAAAAAATAAATATTAAAATTCTCTCTCTCCTTCCCTCTCTCTCTCTCTCTCTCTCTTTAAAAAAAAAAAAAAGAAAGAAAAAAGCAGTGAAGACGCAGCTCCTCACATACCAGAAACCTAAATGAGAGCCACAGTTTTTCATCAGAGGTCGCCAGACCTAAAGACACACTATCACAGGTTACAGGCCTGAATAGACTGTCAACCGGACTATGTGGCAAAACCATCCATTACAAATGAAGACGAAATGGAGACATTTCCAGGTCAGCACTGAGGGGCTTCATGACCAGTGGACCTGCCTGACAAGAGGCGGGGGGAACTCTCCAGGCTGAAATGGAGTTACACTGGACAGTAACTCAGCTCACAGACACAATCACAACCTGAGGAGTAAMAGCAGGTCAATATAATGTCAGCAGGGGGCTCACTGGCAGACCCAGCCTAATCCCCTCTTCGGATCAGAAGCCATGTTGTCAAAAGTTATAAAAGGTTCATTTCTGTTTTCTGTAAAATATTAGGATTTCTGTTTCACCTGGCCATATTTTGATGTTTTAAACTTGCTTGGAATGCCTGCCAGTGCCTTGAACTCACCCATGCCTGGTTTTCCCTGACCAGATAACAACCTCTCTAAAACCCTAATGGCGCCTCATAAATTCTAATGTTGTGATCTAAATTTACTCTTTAAGTGCTGAACTACTTAGACTATTAACCTACTACCTGCCTTTGTGTTACGCTTGTCAAAATCCTGATATCTGTAAGTTCTCAAGACACCCTCCCCCTTTTGCAACTTTTTGTGCTATAAAACTGCGCTATTAGAGAGCTAGAGTTCTCTAACCCAAGGACTTCAGGAGAAACAGTCCCAGCTGGTGGGAATTACAGCTTGCTTTAATTTGGCTTAAAATTGGAGTCTGTGGTCTTTTCTTTGTGTAAGGGTTTAACAATACAAGGCCTCTTTTCTGTTCCCTATGGGATTGGAACCATCAATGTATAAAAAAGAATTCTAAATCTGTGCTATTAGCACACAGTGTATGAATACTTAATGGGGAATGTGATGTAGTGGGGAAGGGCAGAGATATGTTGGATCAGAGTTTTCATACTATAGAAAGTAAGATGTTAAAAGTAGGTTTTTGTGGGGCTGGGATTGAGGCTCAGCAGTAGAACGCTCACCTAGCACAGGCGGGACCCGGGTTCAATTCTCAGCACCACGTTAAAAAAAGGAAAATAAAGACATTGTGTTGTGTCCATCTACAAAAATAGATTTTCTCTATCTCTATTTTTTTTAAAAAAGGAGGTTTTTATAAGTTAAGCATGTTGTCCTTATTCCCAATGTAAACAATGAGAAAATAATTTGGAAAAATCAAAGTGGTACACTGAAAATATCAACTAAATGAAAAGGGAAAAACAGGAAATAAGGGGAAATTTTTAATGTTTTTAGTTGTAGATGGATGTAATGTCTTTCTTTTATTCATTTATTTTTATGTGGTGCTGAGGATCAGATGGAGTGCGTCTCATGTGCTAGATTCACACACGCACTCTAGGAAAGAACTTTAAATGGTAGAGCCACCATGGGAAACAGCAGTGGGCCTCAAARATGGAAAGAGACTTGCCCCGTGAGCCAGAATTCCACTTCTGAGTCTATATCCACAGGAGCTGAAGGAGGGCCTCACAGACACCGCTGTACCCCCACGGTCACAGCTGCAGGTGGAGGCCAGTGTCCTCTGGCAGGTGAGTGGGTCAGGAAAGCAGGGAACAGGAGCCCTTATCCACAGAGACCCACCCCAGGTCCCAGGGGATGCCTGAAGCTGCGCACGAGCCACGCTGCACACTGTGCTGCTGTCCCTACCCACTCGTGCCCACCAGGAGGGTTAATTTGTAGCCTGGGCACAGCAGGGACAATAGCACGACTGATAACATGTGTGCTGAGCCAGCAGCGCGCAATGAGGGTCTGTGGGCGGGGTCCCTCTCTCTCTCAGATCCATGGYCCTCTCCAACCTCTGCTCTGCTGCTGAGGGGAGATGCTGCCACGCCCAGGTGGGGAGCTGAACTGGGGGGAGGATGTCAGCATGAGACATGATCAGAAGGAGAGATGTCCTCATGCTACCCAGAAGGCCGTGATATTTTATATGGATAAATTCTTTTCTCCTCGAATTTCCAATTTAAAAAGTTGCCAACTGCTGACCACTGGTACCTGACACCCAAAAAAGACAAACCACAGCAAGGGGGACTGCAGTGTGCCCACAGGATGGGATGTCATTCTGCCCTCAACATGGGGTGCTGATCCCTGCTACCAACTGGATGAATTTAAGGACATCAGGGATATAAGCGAAACACGAGCCCACTCCAAAGATGTCACTGTGTGAGTCATGTTCACAGAGGGAGAAAGATGGCTGCAGACCCTGAGGGGCAGAGAGAAGAGGAAGCTGCAGGAACCCAGAGTCTCGGGTTGCAGGGTGGAGTCGGGAAGACACCAGGATGATGTTTTCCACCCTGATCATGTTCTAATACCACTGAGCTGCACACTTACACGAGTTCAGAGAGTACGTTTCAGGAACAAGTCTCACCACAAAACACAGATGCTCACGCAGAGCCAAGTGGCCCTTGGAGGACAGTTGCTCAGCAGGCCTGGGGATTCCATCCCACATTCTCAACCAAACACCTGACTCCTGTCAGGCTGCAGGAGACCAGCCCTAAGGTCTGGGCACATCCTTCTTGGCAAGCGCCTTTGTATATCTGAGGCTCTTTACACCAGGGATGGGATCTGGGCGGGGGCACTGGGCCATCTCTCTGGCCTGGGAGGGGACAGTGACTGAGTTGTGGCAGATGGTCACAGGGCAGCTCCACCCCACTTGACCAATCCCAAGAAAATCCCTGGACACAGAGGCTTAGTCAAACTTCCCTGGGGAGCAGGTCCCACTCCCTGTGTCACACCATCTGCCAGGCAGCCAGGGACTGCACTGATGTCTGGCAGAAACCTGTTCACTTGTCCCCAACCTTGGACCAACAGAGTCCAGACTACTGTATGTAGTTGGCCACCAACCCAGCAGCCAGTGATGGGTCTCTGTGGGTGTCATGGAGCCAGAAGTCATCTGCTGAGCATCAGGATACCCATTTCTCACATGCACCAAGGGGTCCAGTCAGGAAGAATGGGGCAGAGGGCAACAGCTGGCTTCAGATAGAGCCAGGGGCATGTCAGAACAAAGTGGCAGTGACAAGACTGGTTTATTGAACATCATAGCCCCGTCTGGGGGCAGGGTTGGAGTCTGCTACCTCCTCTAGCGGGGCTCAGCACAYAGTTGGTACGGGGACGGGGTCACCATGGTACCAAACACGCCACAGTCGCTGGGCCGGGCTTGTCCAGGGGGCACCAAGAAGCTAAAGCGCTGCAGGAGGCAGGTGAAGAAGAGGAAGAGCTCCATGCGGGCCAGGGGCTCCCCGAGGCACACACGGCGGCCTGTGAGGGGGACT